GTGCTGTGCCTACCAGCTTGAACCAGGACAGGGGCAGCCTTGCCTTCACTCGGCCTCTTCTGGAGCCCCTGTTGGCTAGTTACCTTAAAATAACAACTTTTTTTTGCAGGATAAAAATAGATCTCATTCTATATAATGCTACTGAACTGTACACTTAAATGGTTAAGAAACAGGGTCAGCATTGTGGCGTAGCAGGCTAAGCCACCTCTCCCTGAGACACTGGAATTCTACAGGATGCTTGTTTGATCCCAGCTGCCCCACTTCCGGTTCAGCTTCCTGTTCATGCACCTATGAAATCGGTGGACAGTGACCCCAGCTCTTGGGCCCCCTGCCACCTCTGTGGGAGACCAAGATGGAGTTCCAACTCCTGGCTTTGGCTCGGCACAGACCCAACTGTTGCAGCCATTTGGGGAAGTGAATCAGCAGATATTCATTCCTTCTCTCCCCTCATGTCCCCCGTTTTGTAGTCCTGCCTTTCAAATAAATAAATCTCTTCAAATTTGTTAGAAACGATGACTTACTAATTAAACTCACTTGGGAGTGTTTGGGGTGATTTTGATTGAAGCATGTGTTTTTGTGTTTTTTTTGTTTGTTTTTTAGGATTTATTTTTGGGGGGAAGTCAGATATACAGAGAGGAGAGACAGGAAGATCTTCCGTCCGTTGATTCACTCCCTTCCCAAGCAGCCACAGCGGCCGGAGCTGATCTAAAGCCTAGGTCTCCCATGCGAGTGCAGTTTCCTAAGATTTTGGGCCATCCTTGACTGTTTTCCCAGACCACAAGCAGGGAGCTGGATGGAAGTAGGGCCGCAGGGATGGGATGCTGGCACGTGCCAGACGACAACTTTAGCCGCTAGGCTACTGTGCCAGGCCCGAGGCATGTGGTTTTTTTTTTTTTTTTTTTTTTTAAGATTTATTTTTATTATTTTTTCATTGGAAAGTCAGATACACAGAGAGGAGAGACAGAGAGGAAGATCTTCCGTCCGATGATTCACTCCCCAAATGAGCGCAAGGGCCAATGCTATGCCGATCCGAAGCCGGGAGCCTCTTCCGGGTCTCCCACGCGGGTGCAGGGTCCCAAAGCTTTGGGCCGTCCTTGACTGCTTTCCCAGGCCACAGGCAGGGAGCTGGAAGGGAAGCGGGGCTGCCGGGATTAGAACCGGCGCCCATATGGGATCCCGGGCGTGCAAAGCGAGGACCTTAACCACTGCACCACCGCGCCGGGCCCTCTGTGTGCTTTTTAAAGATTTATTTTCAGTGAGGCTTTAGCCACCAGGCTATTGTGCCAGACCTCTTTTCTTTTTTTTTTTTTTTTTTTTTTTAAAGATTTATTTTTATTATTTTTTCATTGGAAAGGCGGATATACAGAGAGGAGAGACAGAGAGGAAGATCTTCCATCCGATGATTCACTCCCCAAGTGAGCGCAACGGGCCGATACTATGCCGATCCGAAGCCAGGAGCCTCTTGCGGGTCTCCCACGCGGGCGCAGGTTCCCAAAGCTTTGGGCCGTCCTCGACTGCCTTCCCAGGCCACAGGCAGGGAGCTGGAAGGGAAGCGGGGCTGCCGGGATTAGAACCGGCGCCCATATGGGATCCCGGGCGTGCAAGGCGAGGACCTTTAACCACTTGCGCCACCGCGCCGGGCCCCAGACCTCTTTTCTTAAATTTACATTTTAATATTGCTTAGTTGAGAGGATGTACACCCATGTGGGCCTCTGATTAGGGTGGGGAGGGTTCAGGTATGGAGGAAGGTGGGTAGAATAAATGTTTCCAATTTGTTTTCCTCCTGTATCTGCAGGTATGGGGGGAGGAGGAGAGGGCCACTTCTTCCTGTCAAACTGCATCAGCTCCTAGGGATTGGGGACAGTCATCTGACAACCACTCAGAGCCCGGGGGCTGGGTAAAGAAAAGTACAATAAGCAACTATGCTGGCATATTGGTATAGTTAACAGATTTGGCATTAACCAGACCCAGAGTACCCTCCAGCTGTTGGCTGCCTTTCTCCCAGCAGGGCAACGCTTGCCTGCAAGGAGCCTAGGAGGGGCCCAGTGTGATAACATAATGGCTAAAGTCCTTAAACGTGCCAGGATCCCATATGGGCACTGGTTCTAATCCTGGCCGCCCCACTTCCCATCCAGCTCCCTGCCTGTGGCCTGGGAAAGCAGTCGAGGATGGCCCAAAGCTTTGGGACCCTGCACCCGCGAGGGAGACCTGGAATAGGCTCCTGGCTCCTGGCTTCGGACTGGCTCAGCTCCAGCCGTTGTGGCCGCTTGGGGAGTGAATCATCGGACGGAGGATCTTCCTCTCTGTCTCTCCTCTCTGTATATCTGACTTTCCAATAAAAATAAAGAATCCTATTTTTTTTTAAAGGAGCGTAGGCAGTGGACTACAGCTAGGGATCTCTGCTTATTCATAGTATTAAGTATTGAGGTACCCTTTATTAAATACTTATTATTCTCAGAAGCATTGGCTTTAATAAGTACTTTAAGAGTGTATTTGCAAAGTTTCTCAACCTGTACGTGTCCAATCTTTGGGTCTGGAATAGCTTGAGAAGCGATACTAGGCCTTAGTTAAGACTGTGAGCTTCGGTCAAGTTAGTCCTTGAGAAGGGAGGGCCCAGTGGGCTCCGCTGGTCCTGAATATTATCAGAAATCTTCTCACTGCTGATTGGCACTGGCTAAGCAGAAACCATTGAGAAGATGGAGGAAGCAGTCTTCCGAATGCCTGCTCTCCTTACGCTGACCTCTGCCCTGCACCGCTGGCAGCAGCTTTCCCAACCCATGTGGGTTCCTTGTAGTCCAGCCGTAGGCATGGGACTTGGACATTGAGATAGCTTTGCCTCCAAGGGGTGGGTCCTGAGGCCTGGCCCCTTGTGCACACATCCCGGGTGGCAGCCTGTGCCACTTTCCACGAGAGCATGGGGTGCTCCACTGCATCTCGCACTGTGGGACAGCAGTGAGACCTGCTGTTTCCAGTCGGTCTTGTGTGCAGCACCCTGCATTAAGAGCAGGGGTAGTTGGAAAGAGGGTGTGGCTTAAGCACCTTGCCCACAGGATCCTCTACTTCCTGGTTGCCTTCTGGACTCTGCTCTGTTGCTTACTCAGCTCTGCCTTTCAGCCCTCTTACAATCAAATCCCTGTATGCAAATCTCTGACTTACCTTTGCATCCTTAGAATGCAAGGACTCTCAGCCCTCTATTCTAACCTAACCAAGAAATGAAATGACAGTCACTGAGCAAAAGGCAAGTAACAATCCCGGCAGTCTGGGTTCAGTCAGCATTGATGTGCTGGAGTCACTTTCCGTCGACATGGACACCACGGCCAGCCTTAGCACTCGGGAAGCTGGGTGTCAGTGTTGACATGAGCAAGTAATGCTTCTAAGACCCACTTCTTTTCTGGTGTTTGCTGAGCCAGCTAAGAGGGCACAGGCTGGCACTGAAAGTACGTTGAGGGCCCGGCGCGGTGGCGCAGTGGTTAAGGTCCTTGCCTTTCACGCCCAGGATCCCATATGGGCGCTGGTTCTAATGCCAGCAGCCCCGCTTCCCTTCCAGCTCCCTGCCTGTGGCCTGGGAAAGCAGTCAAGGACGGCCCAAAGCTTTGGGACCCTGCACCCGTGAGGGAGACCCGGAAGAGGCTCCTGGCTTTGGATTGGCTCAGCTCCAGTTGTTGCGGCTGCCTGGGGAGTGAATCATCGGATGGAAGATCTTCCTCTCTGTCTCTCCTCTCTGTATATCCGCCTTTCCAATAAAAATAAAATAAATCTTAAAAAAAAAAAAGAAAGTAAGTATGTTGAGCACAGTGTGGCAAGGTTAAGCGTCTTGCACGTGGTCTGATGAAAGGCCTGAAAGGTTTTCTGGAGTAGGCTGTTCCCTAGCGCTGCACAGCACAGCAGTGTTCACACACGTGTCCAATTTTGGGTAGTGGTTCTCTACCTGACACCAGTGCACAGTGTGGGGTGGACACTGCGGCAGAGAGGGTGGAGCTTACCACTTAGGACACCCACATTTCATACAGCCTGATGAGTCCTGACTCCTGATTTGGTTTGGTTTTGTTTTGTTTTGTTTTGGTTTCAGATTGATTGATTTTTGGAAAGGCAGATACACAGAGGAAAAAATCTCCTGTCCTCTGGTGCATCACCAGGTGACCACAGTGTCTGGAGCCGAGCCAATCAGGAGCCAGGAGCTTCTTCTAGGTCTCCCATGTGGGTGCAGGGTCCCCAGGCTTGGGCCGTCCTCTACCAGTTTCTTAGGCCACACACAGAAGGAGCTGGATGGGAAGTGGAGCAGCCAGGACACAGGCTGGTCCGTATGGGATCCCAGTACATGCAATGTGAGGATTTGGCAGCTGAGCCCTCACACTGGGCTCCAGCTCCTCTTGCAGTGCAGCTTCGTCGCGGTCTGCCAGAGAAGGCATTGGTTGGAGGGTGGCCCAAGTTCTGGAGACCAGGGAGGCTCCTGGCTGCTGCCGGCGTGGAGGAAGCAAACCGGGGCATGGAGGCGCTCTTGCTCTCCCCCAATCCCTGCCTCAGTTACCCTTCCTCATCCTGTCACCATGCCTTACAAATAAATCTTTTTCTTTAATATTTTCATAGAGATTATTGAAAAAGAAAAGGTAAATAAATAACAGCATGTAAAAATGCCAAGTCATGATTGTTCTGAGGAAAAATAAAGTAGGTCATTAAATAGAAAGCAAAGGGGAGAGTGTGAGCACCTGAGAAAGTGGCATTTAAGTAGTGACCTGCTGAAGCAAGGACCAAGCTGTTGAGTAAGTTGGAACATTAATCCAGATTGCTGACCAAGCACTGCAGCCAGCAAAAGCTGTCCTCCCTCCAGCTTTCAGCCCGGCAGAACTGTTCTGCCTGGCAGGGCTCTCCTAGCTGGGTGTTCCTTTGGGGACCCTCTCTGAGAGTGCCAGAAAAGAGAAGGGGGCCCAGCATTTGCGATCTCGGGAGAGGCAGTTTGCGTAACCATCACACTCATGGTGCTGTCTCTTTGCTTCCTTTAGTTTGAAAGATGACCTCTAGGAAGAAAGTATTGCTGAAGGTGATCATCCTGGGGGATTCTGGGTAAGTTTTCCTCATGAATTGGAACTGACAGCCTAGCTTGCCTCTGGAGCCACCCCCTGTGCGGCCACTTCTGCCTCCTAGCAGCTTCTTCCCTGATTCAGCATGATTTGGGGCGGGGTTGGGGGGCGGCAGGTGGTTTCCTGAGCTCACCAAGTGAGCATCATTTTCATGGAACTCCCAGATTGGCAGGAAGGGAGTCCTGCTTCCATAGATGAGCTGCCTTTGGCATCCTGCCTTCCAGTCCTGCATTTGTGCCAAAGTGCCTCCTCCTGGTTTGTCTTGCCCCAGACAGGGCCGTGATTCCAAGTCTGCTGCTAACCAGGTTACCCAGCTATGCAGTGGCTGGTAGCGTTTCAGACGTGGCCTCTGACTGACTCCTGAATGTGGGACTCCCTGGTATTCCAGAGTTCCCTCGCATTCCTTTCCAAAACCAGCCAGGGTTTCTGGACGATTGGCCTGGTAAAAGCACTGGGGAGCCTGTCACCATTGAATAATGGTGTTCCTGGGCTTGCCTTACCCCAAATGGACCTCATTCCATTACAGATAGCACTTCCTGTCTTTAATAAACCTGGTTTGGGTAGTGGGGGCTTACAGGTCTTTGTGACCTGGTACTTTGTGGGAAGGTCAGTTACTGGCTAGGAGGAAGCTTTTGTATTTTCTTTGTTACATTTTCTTTAACCTACCCTAACCTCATCTTGGAAAAGTCACACCGTGAGACTTCCAGAAAAACTTTGAAAGAACACAAGTTGTGTGGATTCTCCCTTGGTGACCTGCTGGCGCTTGCCCTGTTTCAGATGTTTAAGCTTTAGAGCAGCTGTTGGCTGGGCAGTTTGTGTGTGTGTGCGCTTACGCTCACAGCCAGTGGCTTACGCCTGGTATTACTTCATCAAACTGGATCGCAACAACTAAATGGAGAAACGCCTGGGACAGCAGTGGTATTTTTAGAATAGTGAAATGATCTTATTGCTGAAACTCCTTTTAGAAGGGAGTGCTGGCATCCTTCTGGAAGGGAAAAAATAGCTCTGGGTTTTACCAGAACCTGCAAAGGTTGCTTAGCGTCAGCCCACGTCGGGCCTGGTGTTTTTGTCATGGGAGGAGGTTGGCTGCTCCGGCCTGGCTGTCAGCTGGGCTCCAGTCTCCTCTATGTGATTCATACTTGGGACTTTTCTCCAATTTCAGGGTTGGGAAGACATCACTCATGAACCAGTATGTGAACAAGAAATTCAGCAACCAATACAAAGCCACAATAGGAGCCGACTTTCTGACCAAGGAGGTGATGGTGGACGACAGGCTTGTCACGATGCAGGTGAGCGTGCTGCCGGCTGGGTGGCCAGGCTTGGCCAGCTCACGGTTAGAGACAGAATATATGATACTCAGTTGAATTTCAGTCTCAGATAAACAGTCTTGCATATGCCTCTGCTTCCAGCAGGGCCTGTTGTCACATCCACCCCCGACATGACGTCCTGGTGTCAGTGCTCTGCCTGAGTTTTGTTCCCCTCCTCACCTGCACATACAATGAGACATCTTCACACTGCAAGTGAAGTTTAAGTCAGTCAAGCTTGAGGAGCTCCTACGTGGCACAGTGGCTTAAGCTGCCACTTGCGGCATCTACTTACATACTAGAGTTTCTGGTTGGAACCCTGGCTACTCTACACTTCCGGTCCAGCTCTCTGCCACCCAGGAAAGAGCTCTTGGCCTCTGGCTTCAGCCTGGCACAGCCCCTCTAACAGAGGCTATCTTTGTCTTTCCCTCTATTACTTTAGAAATATAAATGGATAAATGTAAGTAGAATAGGCAGCCAGCTGATTGCCAGGCTTGAAAGAAAAGGACTTTGCAGCTTACAAGAACAAAGGGAACTGAAGCAAATGCTAGAGTCAGACTCCCGCCTTGGGGAGTGTCTGCAAGTGGAATAGAGTTGATCCATTGTTTAGGGTGGGGAGTATGCCCAGGGGAGACACGCTGGCGTTGGGGGTCCCTGGCACACGCGCGCGCACACACAGGTAGGATTTGGGAAGGGTGTGAAACCAGGCTGGAAGCGCTCCACCCAAGGAAGTGGCAAAGCTCTGACTGAAGTGGGGCTTGGAACATTTCTGCTTGCTTATTGGAAATCTCAGTCCTGCTATCCTCATGGATGAGTTCTGAGTTCAATAAATGAGTCTTAAAAAAAAAAAACACAAAAATTCTAAGACGGACACCCTGTCGCTCCCGACCAGAACAAAGAGAGTCCATGTTTTGCAGCTCAGGAGGAAATGGTGTTTCCCAGTAACATTCACAGTGATTAGAAATATTTAAAAAGGGAATAGAAACTGTAACGGAAAGGACACTATGAAAATGAGGAATTGGAAAATGAGAGCTTCAAGAAGTGAAAACAATCATACATTGAAATAAACTAAATGAACAGTTAAACTGAATTAAACAGCTGAATGAAACAGCGATAGGAGCTGAGTGGATTTCTTGAAACTTAAAATCATAGAGCAAAAAATAAAATTACGAGAGCTGTTAGAGAAAAGGCGGGTGATGTAAGGAAGAATCCTCCACAGCAGCTGATGCTCATGGCGTGTGGCGGACGGGCTGTGGCCCCCAGAACTCGGAGCCCAGCACACTGCGGAACAAGCACAGACAGCATCAAGACAGAGGGGGTTCCTATTGATAGGTTTCAGTTACTGGGATTAGTGAATTCTAGAGAATGTGCAGTCTGGGACATACAATTATAATGCTGTATGCTTCATAATTTGCTAAAAAGTTACATCTGTGTAAAGTGTGCTTATCACAAACATACATAAAATTGCAGGAGGCAGTTAGGTCCAAGTAACTCAATTTTAAGTGTTCTATAATTTTTTTTCCAGGGGTTGGCATTGTCATGTAGCTGTTAAAAGCTACTATCTGGGCCTGTCGTGGTATCTAATGACTGTAAAGTGCTCACCATGCATGCACCGGGATCCCAATAAAAATAAATAAATCTTTTTTTAAAAAAGTGCTACTGGCTGACAGCCTGGCATCATCTCCTGTGAGGGCTGGTCTGTGTCCCAGCTGCTCCGTGTCTGGTCCAGCTCCCTGCCTGTGGCCTGGGGAAGCAGCAGAATGGCGCAGGTGTGTGGAGCCCTGCCACCCACGGAGGCGGCCCCGAGCTCCTGGGTTTGGCCTGCCCCTTTTCTGGCCAATCTCTCCTTTCTCTTTGGACTTTTCTCTTTTACTCCCATGTGGGTGCAGGAACCAAAAGGCTTGGGCCATCCTCCACTGTTTTCCCAAGTAACAAGCAGGGAGCTGGATCAGAAGTGGTGCTGCTGGGACTTGAACTGGCACCAGTATGCCATGCCGGTGTTTGAAGGTGGAGGTTTAGCATGCTGCACTGGCATCAGCACCAGCAGTGAAGCTGTGAGTTCTGCTAGATAGTGTGCTGTGTTGGTCTGGGAGACAGAGTGGTGACACTGGAATCCTGCGAGGGAGTTAGGGTCAGAGGGCAGATACAGAAAGCCCAGACATGACGGACAAGGGAGAGAAGCCATGTGACCACCACCTTAAAAGTAGGACATGTTGTGGCACCCTGGGATTTGGAGCACATGGAACCCCATCACGGACACTCGGACACTTAGGGGTGTTGGTGCTCCCGTTGTGAATTCAGTCACTTCTCTGATGTGGTCTGCAGTCCCATGCACTCCCTGCTTGTGTGCGTGCGTGTACAGCATCTCCTGAGCACTGCCCCTTGTCTTCATAGATCTGGGACACAGCAGGGCAGGAGCGGTTCCAGTCTCTCGGCGTGGCCTTCTACCGAGGGGCCGACTGCTGCGTCCTGGTGTTTGACGTCACTGCCCCCAACACATTCAAAACCCTCGACAGCTGGAGAGACGAGTTCCTCATCCAGGCCAGCCCCCGGGATCCCGAGAACTTCCCCTTCGTCGTGCTGGGAAACAAGATCGACCTTGAAAACAGACAAGTGAGTGCTGAAGCGGAGGACCCCGTGCCGGGGCCCGCAGGCTTAAGGGACCGGGCCCCAGTAACCTGGCTTCAAGTCTCCTGCTGCACCCCACCCCCCGTGGTTGGCAGCTGGGACCTGTGTCTGCCTCTGGAAGCAGCAGGTAGATGCAGGCAGCCCGCCCGTGGCTGGCAGCTGGGGCCTGTGTCTGCCTCTGGAAGCAGCAGGTAGATGCAGGCAGCCCGCCCGTGGTTGGCAGCTGGGGCCTGTGTCTGCCTCTGGAAGCAGCAGGTAGATGCAGGCAGCCCGCCCGTGGTTGGTTGTGACGAGTGTTGGATCAGCTCATGCACCTTCTCGTCTCCCCATCCTACGTTAGTCAGTCCCCGGCTGAACATGGACTACAGGTTGGGGAATGAGGATGTGAGTGCAGAGGCTGGCTGTACACACTGTGGAAGCCAGGGCCCGTTCGCATGGCAACAGACGGCGTTAGCAGTGCCAGGGAAGGGCAGCAGGCTTGAAAACCAAGCCACCTGGTGTTTGATGCTGGCTTCCCCAAGATCCCAGGAGAGCCGCTCTGTTTCTGGGCTGTCCTGGGGTCAGAAGGTACAGCCTGGTCTTAGTTGGATTACTTGCCTCCCTAAATAGCGAGGGGTGGCCTGCCCCCAGGTCTCGGGGTCCCTGTAATCTTCACCCCCAACCAGCTGAGTCTGTGGGGTCCTACCATGGAAGTCAGTACTGGCTCTTAGGCGCAGTCCTTCCTCTCCCAGGTGGCCACGAAGAGGGCTCAGGCCTGGTGCTACAGCAAAAACAACATTCCCTACTTCGAGACCAGTGCCAAGGAGGCCATCAACGTGGAGCAGGCCTTCCAGACAATTGCACGGAATGCACTTAAACAGGTGGGTCCCAGCCCTGCCCGGGCTTTCCTAATCCATTCTCTTCTGGGCAGTCAATACAGATTGCGTATTTGGAAAGGTACTTCTTACGCTTCCAGAAAGTGCACAGTTCCTGGGAAGAGCTTAGAGATGTGAGGGCAGCCACGCCAGTGCCCAAGGCCTCCCTGATTTGGGTTGTTCTCACTCCCTCTGTGCTGCTCGGCAGGGAGGCTCCCATCGGGCTGCTGCCAGTCGTGTGGGAGGAGGAGAGAAGCCCAGGCTCTGCCACCCAGTGCTAGAGCTGTGCCCGGCACCTCTCGGGGAAGTGGGGGGCTCTGCCAGGAAGCCCCAGCGAGCTTAGAAGAAAGAAAAGGCAGGACGACCATTCCCACAGCCCCTGTTAACTTTATTTGAAAAGCAGTTACACAGAGATCTTCAGCCACTGCTTCACTCCCTAAGTGGATGTCATATCCAGGGCCCTGAAACCTCATTCCGGCCTCTCCCCTGGTAACAGTGGCCCAGGCATCCATTCTGTCTGCAGCTGGCACTGCTCCAGCAGCCACCAGCACGCAGGCTGAAGGGGCGTTTCACTGACAGTTCCATTGGGACCAGAGGTGGATTAGGGCAGGTTCCCCCAAACACTGGTTGAGATCCTGGGGAACCTGCCTGACTCACCTCTGGTCCTGTCGGTGTGCCCCATGGGGTAGAGTAGGCAAGTCCACCAGGCTTCCCATGGCTTGTGGTGGCTGGGCCTGCGTATGGCAGGTAGGGACAGTGGGATTGGTCACCGGGGGTCCTTCTGCGTACAGCGGTGATAACTGTGCAGCTTGGCACGTGTGTCCAAAGCCAGCAAAGTACACTTTCTGGCAAGTGAGGCTGTTGGCTTTAAAGCTGTGTTCTTAGAAGATTCACACTCACTCAGCAGCCCTGGCGCTCACCTCAGGTGCCGTGTCAGGTGGCGGAGAGGTTTTGTGCCCCTGCAGCCTGCCACACTGGGGAGCCCCCTTGAAAGGAAAAAAAGGCAGACTGGGGCATCCATCCAGAAAGCTGACAGCGAGAAGCATGGGGACAGGTACGGCACGGATGGCAGCTGGGCCGGGCTGCAGGCCATCCTCACTGAGAAACTGGAAATGCAGCTTGTGGCGTGGGAAGGGCCACGCGCTCCCTGAGCGCTGCAGCATGGCCGGTGCCCCGCCGTGGTGTATCCTGTCCCCTGGGGGCGCCTTATGGGGAGCCTATTCTGGGCTTGTTCTGCTCCCTGTGCGGGCCCCGACCCGAGTCCTCAGCCTCTGTGTCTCTCTGCCAGGAAACGGAGGTGGAGCTGTACAACGAGTTTCCAGAACCCATCAAACTGGACAAGAACGACCGGGCCAAGACTTCGGCGGAGAGCTGCAGCTGCTGAGGCCCTCACGCCCCGAGACACACACAGGCCTTCAGACACGAGCCCCCTTCCTCCCTCAACAAGCCGTCGATTGGTCTCCCATCCAGCTGCCAAAAGAAAGCCCTCCAACAGTCACGCCCAGCACCTCTCTCTCACACGCAGACCCAGGCAGCCCGGCACCAGCCCGCCCGCCACAAGGCCCCCTGTGGTGGCAGGACAGGCGGGCTGCCGGGTGGAGGCTGCACAGAAGCTTCTTCTTTGTGTCCACTGCAGAGAGAGAACTGTTTACAGTTGATCTAATGAGTTATCTGGTTTTTTTAACGGTCTTGTGGTCTTTCTGCCCCGCCCCGCCCCCTCCGGGAAGGCTGGTGCCCCCGCTTCGTTGCAGGCTCACCCCCAGTCTGAGCAGGCTGTTTTGTATGTATCTGTTAATGCTTGTTACTTTTAACTAATCAGATCTTTTTACAGTATCCATTTATTATGTAATGCTTCTTAGAAAAGAATCTTATAGTACATGTTAATATATGCAACCAATTAAAAATGTATAAATTAGTGTAAGAAATCCTTGGATTATGTGTGTAAGTGGAGGGCTGAGCCCTGGCTGGATCAGTGTGAGCAAGGCGGAATTTGGAAATGCAGCTGGTGGCAGTATTGTGTACAGTAGACATGAGAATTATGTGCGCCTTTACCAAGACTGAAGAGCCGGAGCTTTCAGCTCTCCGGGGGAACCTCTCGATCCATTTTGTGTTTAAATTTTCCAGAAGGTTGATTTTCCTGACACGGTGGCGTGTGCGATGGCCCAGCAGCCGTGGCCGCGGGAAGGGCCGTTCATTTTCCCGTGGTCTGCTTTCCTCTCCTGCCCCGCTCTTCTGACCTGCCCTGTCTGATCAGCTCCCTACAGCAGGAGGGCAAGGCGAACCCTCACCTGTCCTGGCCACCTTACCTTTGTTCTAGAAGGCGCTCCTTCCAGGGTCGTGCTGTCCTTGGGGGAGCACGCCCCGCGTCGCCCGGCTGCAGTTGGAGCCCGGGCAGTGGGCCCTGTGTCGGAGCTTGCTGACGGAGCACTTCCCTCCCACCGTCTGCGTTCTAGCGTGTGGGCCGAGTTCTTCTGTAAAGAGATGAACGTGACGCCAATAAAATTTAACCACAACAACAATCTGCCTTCGCCCTTTTTCTCCTGCCAGGCCCCTGGCTCGGTCAGGACCTCGGGCAGCCAGAGCAGCGGAGCCCGGGAACCTGTGGGGCAGGGGGGTGCCGCCTTGTGGACAGCCAGCCAGGAAGCAGGCTAGGGGTGACTCAAGTACCGACAGCAAGAAACGGGGACCCGGAATAAAGCAAGCATCGCCCCTGGGGGAGGGACTAACTGCAGCACTGTGGGTGTATCTTATTTAAAAATCTGGTGGATGGGGGAGGGTGTACAAGGGCTCAACTGACCGATCCTCCTCCTGCCAGTGCTTTACGGGCGTCCATGAGCCTGCTGCCCCACTGCGCGTCCACTTCCCTGTGTGCGGCCTAGGAATGGTACACGATGGCCAAGTCCCTGGACCCTGCGCCCATGAGGGAGGCTTGGCGGAAGCTCCTGACTTGAGCCCCGCCCCAGCCATTGCAGCCATTTGGGGAGTAAGGCAGAGGGTAGAAGACCTGTCTCTCCTTCAGTAGTAATTCTACCTTTGAAATAAAAGTCAGTAAATCTTCCTTTAAAAAAAAAAAAGCAAGCAGACAAGGATCTTCCATGTTGTGGTTTACTTCCCTGAAGACCTTCACCAGCCAGCCAGGCCAAAGCCGCGAGGCAAACCTCAACCCTCAGACCCGGCACAATGGCTCAGCGGCCAACTCCTCCCCTTGTAAGTGCCAGGATCCCACATGGGCCACAGCTTGTGTCCGGCTGCTCCACTTCCCGTCCAGCTCCCTGCCTGTGGCCTGGGAGAGCGATAGAGGATGGGCAAGGCCATAGGACCCTGCACCCGCGTGGGAGATCTTTGAAAACACACACACACTTAACTTGCACGTGCGTGGCAGGGATGCAGACACTTGGGGGGCCAGCACCTGCTGCCTCCCAGCGTGCACTTAGGCAGGAAGCTCAAGTCGGGAGCAGACTCCAAGCCTGGCGCTGGGCACACTGTGGCGCCCTTTGCCTCTGCTCCAGATGCCTGCCTGTCTGAAAACTGAATTGGTGCTGCCAGTATGCCACATATTTCTGCACCTTTCACAGGAGAGGGAGAGTTGGCAGCAAAGCTCCGGGATTGGGACCTACACAAACCGAAATGGCAGTGTGCCCCACAGGCCACAGTACTGCCTGGCTCTGTGGCTGGATGCTTCGAGTGGCTGTGCACACTGCAGGACCCGCCAGCTCGGGTGTGCACAGCGCCTTATCAGGCGGTGTCCACTCTGCAGCTGGGGGCCCGGGGCTGGGGTGTCCGCGTCTGCGCAGGGCTACTGCCCCCTGACCCTGACTGCGTGACACTAAAGTAGACCTTCCACTGCTCCGTGCCCTCATCCTAAAATCAATGACCCCCTTAACACAAGCCTGCCTGAGGTACAGGTGACCTTGAACGTAACCTCTTCAAGTGACCTGACCTCCTTGATTTTTAACTTTGGTCTGACGCCTGCCACAGACCTGATCTTCGCCCCCATTTTGTCACCGGTAATCATTCCTAAGTAACGATTGCTGCTGACATGGCCTGGGACCTGACCCCTACCACCAGGACTCGAAGCTGCTTTAAAAAAAAAAAATTGAGAAGTCAGATATACAGAGAGGAGACACAGAGATCTTCCAACCGTTGATTCACTCCCAACGCGGCTGCAATGGCCAGAGCTGCACCAATCGAGCCAGGAGCCTCTTCCGGGTCTCCCTTGAGTACCGGGTCCCAAGGCTCGGGCCATCCTCATCCTCAACTGCTTTCCCAGACAGTAAAAGGGCACTGGATGGGAAGTGGAGCCGCCAGGATTAGAGGCAGCACTCATGTGGGATCCTAGTAAGTGCAAGGCAAGGACTCCAGCTGGTTAGGCTACCATGCCAGACCCTGAACCTACATTCTTTTTTTTTTAGATTTATTTTTTATTGGAAAGGTGGATATACAGAGAGGAGAGACAGAGAGGAAGATCTATGCTGATCCGAAGCCAGGAGCCTCTCACGGGTCTCCCTCACGGGTGCAAGGTCCCAAAGCTTTGGGCCGTCCTCCACTGCCCTCTCGGGCCACAGGCAGGGAGCTGGATGGGAAGTGGGGCTGCCGGGATTAGAACCGGCGCCCATATGGGATCCCGGGCGTGGCAAGGCGAGGACCTTAACCACTTGCGCCACCGCGCTGGGCCCGAACCTATATTCTTGTTCCTGTTATTGTGACTGAATTTCAGAGGTGCGCATTTGGTGCAGTGGTTGAGGTCACCACATGGGGGCGCTCACATCCCGTAACAGCCTGCTTCCTGACCCGGCCCTTCAGTGCTTCCCATCCAGTTTTCTGTTCACTTGATCCCAGGGAGGACTCGAGTCCCTGCCAACCTTGAGCAGGCATCTCTCGCCACCCTGGTACTCGACCTCCCAACCCCATTACTCTGCCTGTCAAGCAAATGGAAGTACTGGTTTTTCTTGTTATTTCATAAAGGACTTCATCTAGACCATGGTCTTACAGCTGACACCGAATGACCCGAAGAGGCCTTCCTGATGACGGCCACGGCTCCTCCATTTTAAATTCCCTTGCCTTACGAGTTAGTTTTGGCAAGAATCTGATCTGAATTTCCCCTTGAATTTCAGCGGAGCCTCAACATTGACTTTAATTCCAACTCTCACTCCGGCCCCAGCCCTGGGAGTAATCACGAATGGCCCCAGTTTTTGACTTTGTTGTGAGTTTGAAGCTCGGCATCGTGCGCCAACATCCTGCCACCAAGGACACTGGCATCCCGTTTGGGGGCTGGTTCCGTATCCTGGCTGTTTCACTTCTGAGTCAGCACCCTGCTCATAGCCTGCAGAAGCAGCAACACACGGACCAGGGCTTGGGCCTCTGGCACCCACGGGGGAGACCAGTGAAGCCCCTGACATCACCCTGGCCCACCTCCAGCCTGTCACCGCAGTGACTTGAGGAGTGAACCGCTTACTCTCCCACATTAAAAAAAAAATCCTCACATTACTGTTCACACATTAAAAGTCAACCTGTGGGGTCCAGCGCAGTAGTGTAGCAGCTACAGTCCTTACCTGGCACTTGCCAGGATCCCATATGGGCACTGGTTCGTATCCCAGCAGCCCCACTTCCCATCCAGCTCCCTGCTTGTGGCCTGGGAAAGCAGTCAGGGACAGCCCAGAGCCTTAGGACCCTGCACCTGCTTGGGAGACCTGGAGGAGGCTCTGGACTCCTGACTTCAGATCAGTGCAGCTCTGGCTGTTGCAGCAGCTTGGAGAGTGAATCGACAGACAGAAGATCTTCTCTGTCTCTCCTCTTCTCTGTACATCTGGTTTTGCAATAAAATAAAATCTCTAAAAAAAAAAGCAAAAGGCAACTTGTGAGCTTCACCTTGGAACTGCCCTTTCGCCGAAGCCGGCACGTTGTCCAGAGCCAAAGCATAAGCTAACTTCAACATCACTTTGCCAAACTCTCACACTGATGCAGCTTTTATTTTTATTATTGGAAAGGCGAATTTACAGAGAGAAGGGGAGACAAAGATCTTCCATCAGCTAGTTCATTCCAAGTGGTTGGAATGGCTGGAGCTGAGCCAATGTGAAACCGGGAGCCAGGAGCTTCCTCCGGGTCTCCCACACGAATGCAGGGTCCCAAAGCTTTGGGCTGTCCTCGACTGCTTTCCCAGGCCACAGGCAGGGAGCTGGATGGGAAGTGGGGCTTCCAGGATACGAACTGACTGCCCATATGGGATCCTCACACCTGAAGGGGGAGGATTAGCCAGTTGAGCCATTAGCCAAGCCCTGATGCACTAATTCTAAAGTTGAACTTGACCCTGCTGTCTACACTAATGAAGCGACGGAATGGCTGGAAACAGACTCACCTTTCCTGGTCCTGAGTCAGCATGCCACCTTACTGTTTTTGTCTCAAATATGACTTATCCCTGATCTTTAACACTGACATTCTGAAATAAACATTAATTTGACTTGGAGTTGAACCTGGCCTCGTTATGACACCCTCGTCCTCACGCTCCTTTTCCTGACATGTTTTGCTCCCGTTCTCTAACTTGTTTGTCTGTTTTCATTACTAACGCAGGATGCCTGAGTGGAAGCCTTTACCAAGGAGATGCTGTTGTACTCACAGCCCTGCAGGGTCCCGGGCACAGAGCCAGCAGTGGCTCCGCTCTGAGGACAGCCTGGAGGTGGCAATCCAACAGCAGGTGCACACACTGGAGGGAGAGAACGCGGCTGGAAGAGCCCGAGTAAGGAGGGGTGCTGGGGGGACCAGGCCCAGAGCCCCACCAGCAGCTGCTTCACCCCTCGAGGAATTCGCTCCAACACCAGGAACCTCACCGCCAGCTTGTGACACAGGGACACCCCAGGGGGCCCAGCACCCTCTAAACAGCAGCAGCGACTCCACCTAATACTGAACACGGCGCTTCATCTGAAACCGACCTGTCCAGCGTCCTGGCTGGGTCACGCCCTAGGTCCACAGCAGCCCTGAAACCGCTTCAGCTGCCAGAGCCTGCCAGGAGCCCCTGCCCTGGCGCTCCCTCCTCCCACATGCCAACCATGCAGCTGCTCTTCGCCCTGGTGCCCACCGGCCTGCTGCCCAGCTCGACCTCCCGCTGCCCTTGAAGTGGCATCGCCACTGGCTTGAATGTCCTTGCTGATGACCCACTCTGCCCTTCCACTTCACCTTGACCCCTACTCTTAGCCACCCTTGGGCACCGACTGTTATCTGTTCTTCAACCCACCCAACACCAAAATGATCTTGTCCTTAAAAAGATGGCCCTTTGCCCTTGTTTTAAGATTTATCTACGTTTGGACCCGGCGCAGTGGCCTAGCGGAAAGCAGTCGAGGACGGCCCAAAGCCTTGGAACCCTGCACCTGTGTGGGAGACCTGGAGGAGGTTCCTGGCTCCTGGCTTTGGATCAGCGCAGTACCGGCCACTGCAGCTACTTGGGGAGTGAATCAT